AAAACAGTTATTCTTTGTTAATTGTTGAACAAATGTTAGAATTTCTAGTACCCAAATGGTTAAAATTTGCTTAAAGACTGTACATAATCACATACAAGACAATGCATGCGGAAAGTATTCATAGCGCTTTACTTTTTCCACATTTTTTATGTTAAAGCCTAAATCCAAAATGGATTAATTTAATTTATTTCCTCAAAATTCTATATACAATACCCCATAAAGACAATGTGAAAAAAAAAAATTTTTTTTTAAATTGTAGCTAGTTTATTAAAAATAAAAAACCTGAAAAATGACGTTTCCACTGATCATTCTTTAGATGTTTCAGCAGCATAAATGAAGTTCACCTGTGGTAAATTCAGTTAATTGAACATGTAGACAAAGGAATTGTCTGAAGACCTCTGGAACAGGATTATCTCGAGGCACAGGGCTGGGGAAGGTTACAGAAAAATTTCTGCTTCTCTGAAAGTTCCAATGAGCACAGTGGCCTCCATCATCCATAAGTGGAAGATGTTTGGGACCACCAGGACTCTTTCTAGAGCTGGCCGGCCATCTAAGCTGAGAGATTGGGGGAGAAGGGCTTTAGGCCCAATCCCAATTCTATCTTTTTTTTTTTTTGCCTAAAAATGTAGTGCAAGTAGAGTTAAAGTGTCTGTTGTAAATATTACTCAAAGTATGAGTAAAAAGTAGACATTTCAAAAGTACTCGAGTAGTATTACTCTGTAAAAAGCTGATGCATTTACATGTAATATGTGGATGTGTGTAAAACGTAACATTATGTAGTGCATTTAGTTATCGCCTCGCAGGCACACAACATCATAAGATGTAAGTATTAGGTTACAATTAGGTTGTGACGTCAGGTGACCAAAATTTAAGGTCTAACCAGTATCTGAGGACAACGTTATATTGATGTCCAACAATGACGTCAAATGACGTTGATATTTGGTTAATTTTAGATTGTTAGAAAGTGACCAAAATCCAACGTCGAGCCAACATCTTAAGGTCGAACGTTGGACATTGAAAATTGACCTGATGTTGAGTTCTAACCTCATTCCGATTTTAATTTTCAAAAAGAAAATTCTAAAACGTACACGACTTTAGGGTACATCATCAATCTGATGTCATGTTGACGTCTTGTGCCTACTGAGTGTTAAGGCGATTTTGGTCATTATACAGTAAACATTCGTTATCTTCTTATCAGTGACCTGCATCTAAAGAGTCTCTGGGTCAATGTGTGTAAAGATTATGGACATCTTCTTGGACAGTTTTAATGTTTCCAAACAGTATGCTGCGATTATAAATCGTCCATGTCTTGAGGATGTTTATTATTAGGGGTGTCACGATTTTGATTTTTTATCGAAATCGATCGAAATTTATGCTCAATTTTGATTATCAAATCCAAAAATAGAATCGTCGATGCTGCCACGCCCCCATGTCACGTCAGCTTGGCTTGCCAAGCGGGAAAAAACAGGCCTGTTGAAGTGCTTGTTAAACTGCAGATGCAGGAGACTCGTCGACAGAGCTTAAATCCTCTCCTCTTTCAATGAAGTCGCCGGTGTGGAAGCATTTTAGATTTCCAGTGAGTTATGTTGACAACGTTCATGTTGTCGACAAAAAAAAAACACAGTTTTGCAAGCTCTGCTATGTACGTATTAGGGTTCGTCCGATAGACAACACCGGCTTCGCGATCCTCCGCCAGCCCCTGTTGCAAATCCGCTCGCGAAAAGTACACACTCAGGCCCTGTTTACTCTGTCTTTGTTTTTAAATGGCATTTTAGAACGACAACGATTTGACATCCACAGTGGCGTGTAGCATTTCTGAGCAGCCCTCCTTCCTCTCTACCTCTGACACACACACAGACACAGACGCACACACACACAGCCATGGGCTCGAGACAGCGGGTTCAGGCAGTCAGAGGATCAGTAGACTGCTTCAATCTTTCACTCACTTGTACTTAGTCATTTTAGCGAACACCTCAGATACTGTTGGCTGGTTCCTGTTGGTTGTGCGTCTTTTTTTACCGACGCCATTATAACGACACAGATCACTGCCTATTCGCGAGTCCCGCAGAAAAAGTGATTGACAGGTGGTAATTATGTGTGTATCTTGCCTTTATTCATTTACTGTATGATTTGTTTATGGGTAAAACAAAGACCATGCAGGTCAGGTAGTTTAAACGGTAGGCTACAAATAATTAATTGGTCATTAATTCATTAATTATTCATAATCGAATCGAATCGTGCCTTTAGAATCGAAAATGTAATTGAATCGAGGATTTGGAGGATCGTGACACCCTTATTCATTATAATGCGATTTATGATAATCTGACATTGCTATGACAACATAACTTGTCATATCATGATGCCATTATTGTGTCACTGTAAATGTATACTACTAAGCTCATTTAAAGTCTAGACAACCATTTATACCAATTGCCATCTCTTATGTTGAACATTTCTTGCCATAGATGTGGGGCCACTGGCACCAGTGTTAACAATTATAAAACGGCTGAAATGAGGAGGGAAGACAAAGGGAGATGCAAAAGGACCAGGACTGGGATACTTTATGTTTGGTTTTTATTTAGTTTAGGTGTCAGTCATCCATGAGTGATTGCCACCACAAGTTTATTGTGTTTATTTCTTTGTTAAAGTTAAAATATTAATCTGTTCCAGTTCATCTCCTTCCCTTAAAGGGCCATGACACCCCCCACTTTCGGTTAAACTCTACTTTAGAATTTTTTAAAAAGATGCATGATTAATGGGCATGGAGCTCCACGAGCATCGGGCAGGAGTGGGCGTGGCCAGCAGGGGAGAAGGGGAGCGAACAACTGTTGATGTCAGTTAGCTCATAAAATGAGACAAACAGTGAGGAGACGCATGAGTTTAAAGTTTACAAAGTTAAAATGCAAACAAATAAACAGTAATTTAATGCCCTGCTACATTTGTAAGGGTGTCACTATCCTCCAAATCCTCGATTCGATTACATTTTCGATTCTAAAGCCACGATTCGATTATCGATTATGAATAATTCATTAATTAATAACGAATTAATTATTAGTAGCCTACCGTTTAAACTACCTGACTTGCATGGTCTTTGTTTTAACCATAAACAAATCATACAGTAAATGAATAAAGGCAAGTTACACACATAATTACCACCTGTCAATTACTTTTTCTGCAGGACTCGTGAATAGGCAGTGATCTCTGTCGTTATAATGGCGTCGATAAAAAAGGTGCCCAACCAACAGAAACCAGCCAACAGTACCTGAGGTGTTCGCTAAAATGACTAAGTACTTGTGTGAAAGTAAAAGATGGAAGCAGTCTACTGACTCGCTGACTGCCTTGACCCGCTGTCTCGAGCGCATGACAATGAGTGTGCGTCTGTATCTGTGTGTGAATGAGTGTGTGTGGTCACGTGATGTGCGGTTTCAGCAGTAGTGAGGAAGGAGGGCTGCTCAGAAATGCTACACGCCAGTGTGGATGTGGATGTGCGACTTCATTGAAAGAGGAGAGGATTTAAGCTCTGTCGACAGGTCTCCTGCGTCTGCAGTTTAACAAGCACTTCAACAAGCATGTTTTCTCCCCGCTTGGCAAGCCAAGCTAACGTGACATGGGGGCGTGGCAGCATCGACGATTCTATTTTTTGATTCGATAATCGAAGTTGAGCATATATTTCGATTGATTTTGATTAAAAATCGAAATCGTGACACCCCTATACATTTGTTATTCGTTATTTTCCTATACAGACAACCACAATTTATATCATTGTAAAGATAACCGTGTTCATATAAATACTATAAATGAGGACAGACTCAGTGGAGCAGGTCTCTTGACCTGTCTATTTTAGTCATTAGTCCTGCTGGTAATCGGAGTATTTAGGCAAGCACAGCAGCACGGCGATGTGTTTGAATGTGAAAGAACTCCTGATACAAGATAACATCCGCCATTCTCCAATTCTCGTGCTGCTCTCCCGACAAAAATGCTTGCATCACACACACAGCTTTGCTGTATGATCGGCTCTGACAGGATCGCGGGGAAAAACATGCAACAAACTCCGTGGATCACGGAAACAAACACATACGAGCCTTCATAAACGGCTACTGCGTGCCGTGGGTCCGTGTCTCACAGCTTGAGCTTGGCACTGGTCTGGCAGGGTCTGCATATGCCTTGCCTTCGGAAAGCATGTGCTGTCGTGCTCTCATTAATAATTAAGCAGCCGGCTCTTCTCATAGGATAAGGAAACTCCGCTTTGAATAATAATGAGAAACCGACGCGTCATCATTGCACTTGCGGTACTGCGCTACGTCGCCGATTTTGATCCCTCCCCAAAAATCATTTTAAATCCGGAAGCTGAAATTAGCTGACAAAAGCTCAAAATTATCCAGTTTTCCCCACAATCAAAGCTGAAAGATGCTACCATTGTCTTAACTGATGCTCAACACACACAAATCTGTTAATATATACAAAAAAAGTTCTCTAGGGTGTCCTGAACCGTTAAATCCCCTTTATGTGAACCAGGTTGTTTTAAAATATGTAGGATAATAATTTGTTTTTAGGCGAAGCAGTGGCGCAGTAGGTAGTGCTGTCGCCTCACAGCAAGAAGGTCACTGGGTCGCTGGTTCTAACCTCGGCTCAGTTGGCGTTTTTGTGTGGAGTTTGCATGTTCTCCCTGATTTTTACGTGGGTTTCCTCCGGGTGCTCTGGTTTCCCCAACAGTCCAAAGACATGAGGTAGAGTTTAATTGGGTAGGCTAAATTGTCCGTAGTGTATGAGTGTGTGTGGGGATGTTTCCCAAAGATGGGTTGCGGATCGAAGGGCATCCGCTGTATAAAAACGTGCTGGATAAGTTGGCGGTTCATTCCGCTGTGGCGACCCCAGATTAATAAAGGAACTAAGCCGACAAAAAAATGAATGAATGAATAATTTGTTTTTACCTCAACCAGGATTAATCCAAGGACTGCTTTGTTTGTTCTGATTATATGTTTTTTTTTGTTTGTTCACAGGGTAAACTGGAGGACTTTCTGAGCATAGCTGGTCAAACATTGGAGACTTTTATCAAGCTTCTGGTTGATGAGGCAAAGCCACAACAGAGTGACAACTCACACGAGCATAATTTTGTTCTGGCATTGGCTGGTGTTGTTACCAGTGAGGGCATAGTGTTTGCACTACTAATTCAGTCTAACTGTCATACCATATTTAAATGTTATTGTCTCAAATTTAAGGAAAGATAATTTTATTTATTTATTGCTTTTAGATATAGCTGCTGTATCATGTGGACGTGACTTCCTATCCTCTTCTGCCCACATTCTCTTGGGTACTATGTTGCAGCTGCTGGGCCTAATGAAACCAGGAGTATTTCCAAAACTCAAAGTGTATGTTGTATAGACACAACCACAAGCATTACTCTATATTTAAAAAGGTTTTTACATTGAAAATAGTATACTTTAATACTTTATATATATATACAGTGGGGGAAATAAGTATGGTACATAGAAAACATATTTCTAAAGGTGCTGTTTACTTGAAATTTTCACCGGATGTTGGTAACAACCAAAGAAATCCATATATGCAAAGAAAACAAAACTAATTATTTACAAATTAAGTTATTTGTAATAAAATGAAATGACACAGGATGAAAGTATTGAACAGACGAAGAAAGGGAGGTGTAAAAAGGCAGTTAAAGTCCAGATAGCAGCTGAAATTTCAAAGTAGTAAGAAAGCCACCCACTGCCCATCATCATTGTAAATTAATATTAGCTTCTTCACTTTAAGACCTACACTACCAGGATGATGAAGATGAATCCAGTGTGGACATTTCAGCAAGACAATGATTCATATAATTGTGTATAATGAGTCATCACATTTACAGTGTGAAAAGAAACATAGAAACATTAGATTTGCTAATGTTAGTTAGAATGAATTGTGGGAAGAAGAGCATTTTAATAACATCTGGACAAAAACATAAATTTCAGATGAATATTAGATTTTTGCTAAACGTGAAAAAAAAATTATAAAAACAACTACAAAATCAGTACATAGAACTGCTGTTGATCAATTTAGATTGATGACTGATATGATTGAAATCCCAGAACCTAAATAGGTGAAATAAACATATCTGTACTTGGAAATTTCTGGTTTGTTTTGAAATGGCAACTTGTAAAGTCAGTATATGTGCTTTTAATTTAAGCATCTGATTATGTCTTGTGTGTTTGTGCAGGCTGATGTTAATGGCTCTCTATAACACCACTATCAATGTAAATGGACTGAAATTCATTAGTGAGAGGCCTGAACTTCTTCCTCTTATGTGCCACCTTCTGGAAGGTAAGTGTTTTTTACAAACAGTTTGTATTTGTTTTGTATTAATTCTTTTAATGAAACATTTAAAATCATAACTGGGTAAATCAGGGATTAATCTAGAAAAGTTCAATAAGTTAGGAGGCAATTCTTTATTCTGTTACCAAGCAAATATAAAAAGACAATAGTGTCACTAATCAGCTCAAGTTAGTTGAAATTTATTAAATTCAGTTCAATAAGTGTTGATGGTGCAAATTGTTGGTTTCTTAAATATAAGCAAAATTCAAATAAAATTTGCAAAAAGTATTAAAGGAATGCTAATGTCTGCTATGCCCACAAAAGTGTGCACATTAGCACAATAGACAAATAAAAAGCAAATCAAACATCACATTTTTTTATTGACATGAAATGACACTCACTTTTTAAAGTGCATAAACAACTGTGCTAAAATATAGTTTCCTTAATATGAAATATTATAAAATATATGAAATAAACAACAAATAATTTAGAACACAGAGTTGAGCACATATCTTTTTTTATATGTAGTACATATGGGTGTAACGATATTACAACCGAACCAAAATATCGTGATACACCAACCATGATACGTATCGCGAAACTCTCGTGGCGTACTGCGGTACTCTCACACCCCCTGCTGCTTGTTGTTGAGGTTGACGTCACTTGTATCTTAACTAAGTGAACTAATTTAAACACATTTTTATTTTATCATATTTGATTAAAATGTATTAGTAATGATGAGCTTTTGTTCTAAATATTATATTCTAAAGTTAGTATTTTCCATGTCATGTCATGTGACTTGAGTGAGTTATAACACTCGGTTACTACTGTATATGCAGGATGGCTGCTTCACATATATTGAGATTGCAGATCCCTCAGACGCATTTAAGTCACCTATTTGGAAACTTTTCTGTTTTCCAGTGGAGTACAGGAATATAATTTGTGTTGTACACAAAGCGCCTGTCCTAACTTTCACAAAACTTACTTATAAGGAATAACATTTAAAAAGTGTGGAAATTTTACAATGTGAGGGTGTAAGCAAAAGTCTGACAACTTCCAACAAAAGTATTTAATGTACAAAACTGAAACCAGAATAAGGCACAAATATATACAAAAAAGAGAAATATTTACAGTAATAATAAGAATATAATAAAGTAGCAAATTCAAACAAAGTATCAAACAAAAATTAGTTGAGAAAGGGGAAGATAGTGAAGCCAAACAAATGAAAGAAATATAACAAAAAAATTCTAACTCATGAATAACCCCTTTACCTCGCTAAAAACTGATGAAAAGAAAAAAAAAAGTCCTTCAGCGCAGTGCGCCGCATTCTTCTCTTTTCTATGTGTTTGCAAAATGGAAGTCGTATGACATCTTTCCTATCCACCTTACTCTGAGAAAAGAGTGAACTTGAGGAGGTAGTCTCTATCTCAATATGACGGGATGAGCCGAACCAAAAAAGTATCTAACAAATCAATCGAAATAAAATAAAAGTTCTCAAAGTGGGCAAAAGTAATGCAAAATAATTTTACCCAAACGATAGTTAAGCAAAAACAATGATAATTATGTCAACAAAATACATAAAAATTAGATCAAAGGAAAAAGCGTTCTCCTCCTCATTTCCTGGCACCCTTTTTATATCCCCGCACCATCTCCGCCTTGCCTCCACAATGTGACCAGCTGTGTTTGCTTGCACCACGTGTTGTAGGAATGAACAAGATTCTCCTCGCAAGGCGCTGCTGTCGTGGAAATAAGTAATCTTGTTTCTCCCAGAACGAGAGCAGATTTTCCATTGATGACTTCTTTAATTGGCTACTCTTGCACTGACTTCATCTATCATTATTGGGCGTCTTCTCATCTTCTCCTTCTGCAAAGCCCACTCTTTGCTTTTTCGCTAATCCACTGCCATGTCCCGCTATATACACCTGCAACCGACCCGCAATTATGTTTTTTTTATAACCCGACCCTCGGATTATCCGCAGCGCTCGCGGATATAACCATCATCCACGCATCACTAACGGGAGGCAAAATACACCCTATATACGGCTACAACCAGAACATTAGTTTTAGACAAAACTGCAATGTATTTTACTGGTGAGTATGTCATGTAAAAACACTGTGCAAACACATTATATGTATATTTTTTCATTAATTTAAACAGAAACCTATCTATCTAAATGAAAACTTATATAATTAAAAAAATTAGCATCATTATGTCTGTGTCTGCACAGAGATCAAGCCAATCACCTGAGAATGTGGACATTATGGTGTTTTTGAAGAAGAACTGAAAACGTAATTGAATTTTCCAAATGTCCTTAGAGAGGACATGCCTGTTTATCTTTCACTAGTCTACACTGCAGTTATTTATTTAATTTTAGTTTACTTAGTTAAGATGGCTGCACTAAAGAGAATAGTTTTTTCTGACTAGTCTATATTGGGGGTATTTATTTAATTTAATTTTTTAATTTAAATACTAAATGTGATGGCAAAGTTAATAAAGAAAAATTTTAGATGTTCTTGTTATTAAGTGAATCTATTGTTCCTCATTGCTGTTAAGATATCAACCCTAGCCGCACAGCAAACAGAAACTGAACCGAACCGAACCGTGGCTCCAAAACCGTGAACGAACCGAACCGTGCCTTTGGTGTATCGTTACACCCCTAGTAGTATTTTTACAACATAAATTTAGCGTGAACCCTACTAATAAAAGCTATTTCTGAGATTTCTATATAGTGCATTATATACGGTTTCTTTTGTTTTTTCGTATGCTCTATTATGGTTTTTCCTGGTTGCTTAAAACATTTCTTAAAACTATACCTCAGATTCTCAAAAAAGTAACCACAAATCCATGTCTCACCTGATTTTCCAAACATCCTATTTTCAGGTCAGAATGAAGCTCTACATACAATACATACATACAAAACCCTTCAATCTTTCTGAAAAAACAAATTTTGCCCTCAAGCCGCTTTTCCACTGCATATGAAAAATGACAAGCGACAGACCGGAAGTCATTCATTTCCAATGGAGAGTTGTCTGGGACCTGCGTGGAGTTCCAATCATCTCCGTATATAGAAAATTTGGATCCGATTTGAGCTGCGGATCGATTAAAATATTTCAACTCCTGCGACCAGACCGTATGCGACCAGCCAACCGGATGTAATGTATTCCAGTGTTGTCCTAGCAGGTCCGTGCATGCAAGATGAGAAATAAGAGAGTTTTTTTACGTAAATCTTTTACTAAGAAAAAGGTCTACATTTAAAAAACCTTTCTATTCATACTATTTTTTTATGTTGTCTCCACATTCTCTTCAAATTTTTTAGTGGTCTATGGGTTTATAGTATTCATTGATTCATTCATTCGACCATGGTGAACAGATGGAGAATAAAGGCTCGTTCTGCACTTTATTTTGGACAACACAAGAGTCAGCTTCTCTCCCATGGTGCATGACAACACTGTAAATTCCGTGCGACTGCCACAGGAGGGCGTATTCCAACAGTCTTGTCCAAATGTTGTGTGCAGTGGAAAGGCGGCTTCAGACATCACACACAAGGCCTCAAAACACACACACATACACACACTACCACATAGTCTTATGTTGTAAGAAAACCAAAACTGGTAAGTTACAGTATGTTGCTTGTAGTTCTTCCTCAGAAAAAAATTGACAAAAGAAGCAACCAATGTATATACATTGGCACATTTTTTATTTATGTATGTTACAGTACAACACACACACACACATACAATTGTTCCACCTAAGCTTTCTCTTCAATCTGGGTGAGGCCAAAGACTCTCATCCACCTTACAGGCTATATTGACCCTAGACAGGGAGTGGGAATAAAATCCTCTGCATGCCTGATCCACCCCTGGCATGAATCTACTGATTTGTCTTTTCAGCCTTTTTCCATGGCCTGGAGGAGGTGAACATGGACATAAGGTTCTGTCATACACTTTCTACTGCCATGGCGAAAAAACTCCCCTTTTTAGGTTTAGAAAGTGAGAGTATGCAGGCAGTAAGATGTCCGAAAACGTTGGGTTATTAAGGAACCAGTCATGAACCAGAGCAGCACGGAAAAAGCTGATGCTATTGCAAACAGTAATGTAGTGAGGCTGTGCTGGTTTTCTGTAATCCAGTTGGAACATATGCTCTCTTAGACCATCAACGAAAGCAAGGAGGAGCAGAGTGTTTTAGGGTCCTAGAATGGCATGGTGGTAGTCCAATCTGATGTCTTTGACTTCTTCTCCTCCTCTTCCACCACCACTGTGGTGTCGTTGACTTCTTCTTCGTTCTCCTCCCCCAACACCACTTGGGTGTCCTTGACCTCTTCTTCTACTTCTCTTCCTCCTCTCCTTCTTCTCTTCTACCGCAACCACTCTGGTGTTTTTGACCTCTTCTTCTACTTCCCTTCCTACTCTTCCTCTTCTTCTTTTTCTTCCTCCTCGTCTTCTTCTTCTCCTGTTCCACCTCCACTGGTGTCTTTGGCTGTTTCTCAATACAAGTACCCAAAGTTCGGACTTGCGTCCTTAAAAGTTCAGACTTGGAAAAGCGAAGTACAGAGGACGCGAAGACCCATGCTGGGTACTTCTTCAAATGGAACAGCAGTGTACTTTATAACATCACTTACCTCTCCATGGATTCATCGGTTTCACTGTGCATTAAAAATAAAATGATTCCATTAATATTATAAATGTAGATTTTTGATTTAAGAAAATGTAAACATAAATCACTGTAAATGTGAATTTAATTTTCTAAAGATAGCACAAGACGTGCTATATTTAGAAATACACTGCAGATTTGAGTTTAAAGCAACTATATTCTCGCCTGAAAAACTCTTAAAACTTAAATTTGTAACACAACAAACGAGCATTTTAAAACTGTGCGGGTTTTCTCCCCACCATTAGCATTTGCTGGTTACGCTGCAATGCATTCAGGGACACCTGTGCTTTGTAAGTTCCCACAAGTCACCTCTCGAAGCATCCTTGGAAAAAGGGGCAGAGCTAGCACACATCCGGGATTTTTATCTGTACTTGGCAAAATGTCAACTTTAAACTGGAATAGTACTTCGGTGACGTTTGATGACATTTCACGAGGACACAAGGTCGCAAGTACAGACAAGAATGCATATTGAGATACAGCCGATGATCTCTTTTTCTTCTTCTACTCCTCCTCTTCCACCACCACTCTGACCTTTTCTTCTTCTCTTCTTCCTCTACCACCACCACTCTGGTGCTTTTGACCTCTTCTTCTTCTTCCTCCTCTTTTCTTTCTCCTTTTCCACCACCACTCTGGGGTCCTTGCCCTCTTCGCTTTCCTTCTCTCCTTCTGCTCTTCTGCCACCACTCTGGTGTCTTTGACTTCTTATTTTTCGTCTTCTCTTTTCTCCCTCGTCCTCCTCTTCTTCTTCTCTTTAGCCACCACTGGTGTCTTTTATCTCTTCTTCTCTTACTTCTCCTTTTCCAGCACCACTCTGATGTCCTTGATCTCCTCTTCTTCGTCTTTTCCCCCCTCTCCTTCGTTTTCTTCTTCCTCTTCTTTTTCTTCTTCCTTCTCCTTTTCTCCTCTTGTGCCACCACTCTAATGTCTTTGACTTCTTCTTTGTCCTCCTCCTTCATCACCACTTATGTTTCCTTTACCTCTTCTTCTTCTTCCCTCCTCCTCTCCTTCTTATTCTCTTTTTCCTCAACCACTCTGGTGTCTTTTACCTCTTTTTCTTATTCCTCTTTTTTTTCTCCTATTCCACCACTCGGGTGTCTCTGACCTCTTCTTCTCTTCTTCCTCTTCTGCCATCACTTTGGTGTTTTTGACCTCTTCTTCTTCCTCCTCCTCATTTTCTTCTCTTTCTCATTTCCACTACCACTCTGGTGTCCTTGACCTCTTCTCTTCCTTCTCCTCCACCACCACTCTGGCATCCTTGACCTTTTTTTGTTCTTGTTCTTTTTCCTCTCTCTTCTCCTCTTTCTCCACCTCTCTGGTGTCTTTGACCTCTTCTACTTTTTTTCCTTCTTCTTCTTTGTGTGCTAACTAAGCTCAATCTGATACATTTGTGTGTAGTTTTGCAGTAACAGTTCACAAAATACAGCTTGTGTCAAAGAAGTTTTTTCAAAAAGGGCATTATGGTTTTGAAATTTTGGTTTAAAAAGTATTCAAAAAATTTTGTACTTAGGTATTGCAAGTAGTTTATTTAAAAATCTACACGTGCCCCAAATTGTACAAAGAGATTATGCGTGGGATTACGTGTACGCAGTGTTTCATACATCTGATTTTTTTACTGCGTACACACAGTGACAGCTTTTTACGTATGCAATGTTTTAGTATGAATTCAACGCAAGTCTTCGTACATGAGGCCCCTGGTCCTCTCTCGTCTTCCACTGCTGTCTCTCCTCCTTTTAAATATTTGTTTGTGTGTGTGTGTGTGTATGTACTTACTTTGTACACTTATTTTGATATGTCTGAGAAAATTAATATAAGCACCTCAGCTCGCAAAATGTAGTTGGTGTATTTTTCATGTAAAAATTTTCAAAATGTTCAGCTTTATATGTTACAATTTAATATTAAATAAATCACATAATCAGTAGCTCAAAGTCGCTGATTAGGAAAGAGGACAAAAATATGTTTTATCCCTTGATCTAGCATTGTCTGGTAAGATAGAACACAGTTTCGGGTTTGATGTTGTGGCTACAGTAGTCTATGATGCTCTCTAGCCTCTTGAGATAAAACGAAATGTGTTTTCTTCCTCTCACAGACCCTGATCCAGAAGTGTGCCTGCAGTCATTGAGGCTCCTTCAGTCTTTAATACTGGAAAGAGAAATCATGCCTGGCATGGCTACTGACTTTCGACGCTCTTTCCCCCTCAGTCGTATCAACCATCTAGTTTCAAGCTGCCATCCCACTCTCAAACAAACAGCCCAGGAGACACTGGAAGATCTGGTTAGTTTTACAAACTCCCAAACTACATTCACAGAGAAGGAGCAGTGTTTGGATTAAAAAGGGCAGTCTAGGTTTAATTTAGACTCTATGGGTCTAGATTAGATTACTTGTCCATGCCATGACAGTTGCCCATGTTCCTGGTGTAATCAACCAAAGAAACCTAATAAGGGATTTTCAACAAAACTGAAGCAATTTTAAGCTTCTTTTGTTGACAAATAACCAGTTTTCAATCTACTTATATTGTATAAAGTCTTTTCCATGTTGGTACATTATCTTTCAGGTTATACACAAAAAGTTTTTTTTTTCTTTAATCTGATAATCAGATAAGTTCATCTGTACATCTTAAAAAACTTTACTTTAAATTGCATAATACTGTTGTGTATATAATATTGGTGAAATTAGGTAATTCTTTCGAAATAAAGCTAAGGTCATAAAACATTTTATGAGACATGAACATAGGGTCTTTGATAGAGAAGACAAAAAATTATACCATTGATTTTTGATAAGATACTTTTTTACTATGGTGAAAGTAGGTATCTCTAGTCCCCTTGTCAGTACAGATTTTATCACTACAAATAGAGGCTATATTTGTAAAAATGTTCATACTTGCGCAAAAATGAATAAATAATTAAAACAACCAAACTACTGCTAATCAAAGAGCCCTTATTGTGCATTATAAATGGTCGTATTTTGGTTTTGGGGGTTTCCAACAACATGCTGATATGCATACAATGCCAAAAAACACTTTTATTTTTACAAAATATTCATTTTTGTTTACCTAATTAACCCAAAGACTTCCATATGATTTATTTTGCAATTCATTTTTTCTCAACTCCTTTGCATGACACTAATCTGTGGTGATTGTTCTGATGATCCAGTTGGTTCAGTGCAAGGAGAAATTCATTAAATCAATGCAGTAAACACCAGCATACACTGTAAAAAATTCTTATCTACTATTTACTTAAAAATCATGTAGTTTTCAAGACTTGATTTTTTTCAGCAAAACCTACTTGAATAAATCAGGTGAAAATTTGTTAATTTTTTTGAGTGATAGATGATGATTTTAATATTATTAGTCAAAAGTTCTTTTCTAATTTAAGCTAATCAACCACAATTTACTCATATTTATTCATCAAAATTACTCAATCATAAAATGAAAAATATATAATTTATATTGAAATACATACACATTGCATTTTTTTGGTTGCATTGACAACAAAACGGTTTGTTATGTTAAACAAATCTATTAAGAATTTACTGAAGTTTTAAGTTCTGAAAAAAGTGATTTATCCACACTGTTAGCCCTTACCAGGCTTTTATACAGTATAATACTGGCAACTCTGTTGCCAGCTACTCACTGTAATGGTTTGGTTACAGTGAGTAACAGGCACCAGTGTTGACAGTGAATTAATGTAATTAAACCATAACAGTGACTAACTGGCAACACTGTAACTTACTAATTACTGTAACTTAACCATTAGAGTGAGTAGCTGGCAACAGTGCTTTCAGTTACTGTAATAGAGCAGTAGCAGCAACTAACTGGAAACTGCTTACAGTTACTTACTGTACTATAGTGTTACAACTCACAGCATCATACTGCATACACATTAATGGTATGTCATTTAGAGTTATTGTAGTGTTACTATAAATCAGTATTCTGAAGTGGTATTAAATTAGAAAGCATATAAATTCTTCAGACACATGTATTTTATTGTTTTGACAGCAAACACACCTGATCAAACTAATTGAGGCTTATTAGAAGTCTACAGGTAATGTTGAAGCAGAGTGAGAACTAAACTCTGCTGGCTGCAGCCCTCCAGGAACGGAGTTTGACAACATTTAAGCAACTGCCTACATTTATCACATATCTAATAAAAAAAAACAATATAAATTAATTAATTAACAAACTCCATCCAAAGCAAAAAAATGTAAAATTGTTCAGCACTAATCCTCATGTTATTCCAAACCTGTAGTAATAATAAAAAAATAAACAAATAACCTGATTTATCAATTTATTACTTGACTTCTGATATACAAGGCTACAATAATATAAGGTTAAAGACAAAGTTTTTTTAAGTTTCAAATAATTGTAAAAAAATTTGCATATCAAAATTATACACACACATACTTTAAAATAATTATAAAAACAAAACTCAAATAAATTCGGCAACACAGAGAGTCTAAAGTATCCAATCTTATTATTATTTACTTAAAGAGCCCCTATTATACATGAATTAGGGTAATATTTTGGTTGTAAGGGTCTCTAACAACAGTTTAATATGCATGCAAGGTCAAAAAACGCTTGCATGGTCTTATAATCTGCATTTATTTTTAGCTAATTATCCCAGCGACTCCCATTTGAATCGTTCAGTGATTCATTTGTTCCCAAACCCCTCCTTAGCACGAAGCTTATCTGCATTGATTGGCCTGATGACAGCCTACTGCGATTGGTTAACACTGACAACCTTCAGCACGAGACAGAGTGAAATGTCCAGCAGCTAATCAACAATATAGAAGTAGTCAGAGTGCAAACACGCTTTATAGTGTAAGGCGTGAATTTTGGCTGCCAGTGGGTGAATGTAAATACAGACGATGGACTTGAAAATACAGACGAGTAACTATTTTATTGAGCAAAAACTCTAAGAACTGGCGAGGAGATCAACACACACACACACACACACACACACACACACACACACACACACACACACACACACACACACACACACACACACATTACCTTCCTCCACAGAGGACACAACACCAAAACATTCAAAAACAGAGAATGCACTTTCGGGTTGGGGCGGTGTGATCGCCGTTCGCCTAGAGCACCAGTTCAGCTTGCTGGGTGCAATTTAGACAACTCACCTCGAACCTGAGTTGAACTATTTTGAAACTTCACCGTTGCATGTGTGTAGGAACAGCTGATGATCCGTAAACAAAGCAGCATGCGTCGCGTTTTCAATTTTAATCACATATACTTACACTTGTGATATGGAGGAAGAAACTGATTCATGATTCACTGATCCATGTTCTGACATAGTCCCGTCCATCAGTTCTCTTTTCTGGTCCTTCCTTTAACAAACGGCCGATGAAGTCTTTGTTGTAAGCATGTAGTTTCCAGAAGCATTGCACTAGGCTGGGCTATATTGCTGAGATATTTTTTGCTAAAATAAACCTCAATCACTGACTCTTCAAAGTTTCATCTTTGGGTAGAGACTGTCAATAATATCCATCTGCACAGCATGACTTTATTCGACTGGTGTCTGTGTGTGTGTATGGCTTTTTTTTTGTGTTAGTGGACGGGGCTGCAAGTTTCAAATCTCCCGGGTTTGCCCGCGCAACTACTTGTGTTTCGTAGCTGCGCCATCGCAAAAAACCTAATGAATCGTTATCAAGACGACTCATTTGAAGCATTATGAGTTGACTCTTTTATAGATGAATCAACAGTTTTAAACACTGTACACTTACAGATTTAAGCCTTAGCTGGATATTTCACTTCACTTAGAGCTGTGTTACCCACTACATGGAAGGTCATTTTCAAAAACCCATAATATGGGCTCTTTAAAATTGTTTAAGAAAACAAACATTTCTATTGTCCTTAGGAATTCACAGTTGGAAACACAGCTCTGAAAAATACTTAGCAACAAATTAACAACCTGGGACCTGAGAGTAGAGGTTTGTGAATCCCTGTGATGATTCTTGTGCACGTCAGCTCACTAACTGAGGAGATTAGAATTTAATGGTTTTTATGTGTATAAATTCTGTTTTTTTTTTGCCAAAAAGAATGTACATTTGGAAATAAGCAATATCCAATGAATAAATATACTTAAATGAAAGTATTGTAAGAAGTTATATAAGGAGAGGCTAATTAGCTAACAATGTAGCCTTCAAGTACACAGTTCAAGACAACAACAATATAAGTCAATACACAGACTTACAAACCCTCAAAAACATTTGAACACATTTTACTTACTCATTGTAGATTTATGGATTAAAACATCAGACTCTGCATCTGAACTGCTAAACAGAGAATGGAGCTGTCACCGGCTCGGTCCCAGTCATTCCCCTCGCTGGCCAGCAGAGGTCATCATCACCGGACTATTGACATTACGTTATCCTCACACCATTCAGACACTGATTGCTGCACACCTGACACAGATAACCTGATTGCACTCACACGCATATAAGCAGCTCTCACACTCTCTTCAGTGCGAAGTCTTGTTCTGCCTTGCTGACATTACTGAGCGTTATTCATCCTTGCCTGATCTCCTGTTGCTAACCCGGACTGTTCCTTGACCTTGCCTTGCCTGCCGCCTGTCTAGAACCTTGCTTTGTATTACCGTCTTTGATCCCAGCCGCCTGCCTCTGACCCATGCCTGCTACACCGACTTATGATTGCCAGCCGCCAGCCTATCGACCTTATAAGCCTGTGTTTCATGTGAGTTCGCACACCAGTATCTACTGTGTGCTTATTATTAAACTGTGTTTAATAAACTTACTGCAAATGGATCCCTCTGTGTCACACCCTTCGTAACAGGAGCACTCAGAAGTAAACAAATTAAACACCTGGCTCCCTTTAAGGGCCAACATATTCTAAAAACTTTTTTTTACAATTTTGTTTTTGAAATAAGACAGACATCCTGTGTATGTGTCAATGTCTAAATCCATTGTTTTTTGCATTAAGATAAATACAATATTCTATATAGCACCATAAAGCATCAGAGTAGATGAGACAGTATTGGTGGAACAGTATTTTACCATTTATTGTCACAGTTACTACCTGTAATGGCTACATAAAGTTAATTACTGTTAATCATTCTTTGCACTACACAATTTCATACAAATCCTACTCATTTTTCAGTAAAATACTGTTTCCTGTTATTACAGCAAAACACTGGCTATTTTACAGTTATTTACTGCATAATCTACTGTAAGAGTTAACAGTGCATGTAATGGAAAAAATGTTCATTCAAACTTTCTTTTGTAAGTAGGAATAGTCACATTTTAGACAAAATCTGACAAAATTGTATACCACATAAAATGGTACTGAAATTTTACCAAAAGGTTGAAGCAGTGGATTTGTGTCTGAACCTAATATAAGGTTGTTTTTGGCTGATTTTAATTTAGGGAATATTTTTATAAATCCAGTTCAGCATTTCTAAAAAGATTTTCCAAGCCAGCTATGCCTCACTCATCCTCCAAGACAATGCAGAATTACTTGTGGTTGGTCATCCAACAAGGCAGCAGTTGTCTGTGCACCCGCAGTCTCACACTGTAAAACAAACATTACATTTATTATTATGCAATTATACATTTCATGTGTTTAAGGCTTCCTTACAATAGCTTTTATGCAAAGACATGAGGAAATAAACCATTTGTATCTCTCTGAAGAGTAATTCTCCAAAATGTTTAATGTCCAAAATGCTAAATGACATAAAATCAAGTATTTTGACTAAGAATTGACAGGGTGTTTTCAAAATGTATACTAGTAAAAAAAGAAGAAAAAAAAGATTTATGAAAAAAACATGTTCATACAAGGAATAGTGCATTCAACAATGTAGTGATTGAGCTATATTTTTGGTTTTTGTAAAAAATGCAAAAATATTAAATGCCATTTTCTGAAAACTATGTATTTTAGCTGGTTTAAGACACTTAAATTGTACTCCTGGATAAGCTCTTCTTTTTTATACAAATTGGCCAGCAACAGAGGACAACAGCTCTTGTCATCTCTGATTTCATTTAAAAAATGAAGAAAGCAAATATTAGTATTTACAGTATTATTTATAAATGCATAATTAATGTAGGCTTTTGAGTTTTCAGAAGGCAGTATGTTGTAGAGGTTTTACAATCATAAAAATAGTTATTTGTTAAGTTTGTAGAATATTATTCATTATACATTTTATTACTATGTTATAAACATGAAACTGACTTTGTTTAAACAAAGAAACACAATGCCCCATATAGAAATTTAATATGGCAAATTATATATGACTTCACACATACAAAATCTATAAAAGCTATTGAATAGCTAAGAGGTATAGCTAATAAGCTAGTATTACAAAGAGGCCTGTTGTTCTTCCACCCTGTTGGCTGATCACTACTGTTCAAAATTGCAACGTAAAATATTTGTACAATTTTAATATATAATTCACAGTGAACATACAAACAAATCAAATATGGTTGGGTGGTTAAAAATATCAGTGTAAATCTAAGCTCCTGAACAAGCTATTGAGTTACATGAGCTAAAATAAAAAAACTGTCAATGCTTACCTCTTAACATGCTCACTGTTGGTCTGCTCCTTCAAAATGTTGTCTGATCACTGGCATTGTTGAGATTGTGCAAACATCTGAATCAAACATCTCAATCAAATCCATATCATTGAGTCAATTCACTTGAGATAAACAAAGCCTTTTTTTTTAGCTTAATTTAATAGTCAAATCAAGCCTAATAATTGCACCAGTTTGGTTCAAGAAATAATTGAAATTTATATCTTCATTTTATTAGCGAAATGTTCTCAATATCTTATAATAAATCCAGAATGTCATTTTTTTAAAGATAATTTTTTAAAGAAAATATGCACATTATTTTTAATGATCACATCAGTTCTTAAATGAAACTTACAAGCCTCAAGAAATATATCTTTGACTATCAGACTATAGGTCTGCATTCCCACAGCTGTAGATTTCTTGCGGCGTGGTAATACTTTTCTGAATAAAACCCGGTACTGGTCGGTAACTCTGGTGTCATTTGATTGGGAGTGGGTGGTCTAACAATATAACGCTCCCGAGTCCCGACATTAATTCGGAGCAGCATATCTGATAGCTGTGATTTCCTCATTCTTATTGAGCATCGGTAAAGCCAGCGCTCACGACTGTTACACATGATAAAAGCATGGACCAGCGCTTTCTGCACATGCATTTTTCTGTGCGTGAATCATCTGCAAAACGGTCCTCAGAGCAGGCATTACCAACATGTAGGGGGGTCGCGATTTTGATTTTTAATCGAAATCGATCTAAATTTATGCTCAATTTCGATTATCGAATCAAAAAATAGAATCGTCGATGCTGCCACGCCCCCATGTCACGTCAGCTTGGCTTGCCAAGCGGGAAAAAAACAGGCTTGTTGAAGTGCTTGTTAAACTGCAGAAGCAGGAGACCTGTCGACAGAACTTAAACCCTCTCCTCTTTCAATGAAGTCGCCGGTGTGTAAGCATTTTGGATTTCCAGTGAGTTATGTTGACAACGTTTGTGTTGTCGACAAAAAAAAAAAACACAGTTTTGCAAGCTCTGCTATGTACGTATTACGTACGGTTCGTCCGATAGACAACACCGGCATCGCGATCCTCTGCCCGCCGCCGTTGCAAATCCGCTCGAGAAAAGAACACACTCAGGCCCTGTTTACACTGTCTTTGTTTTTAAATGGCATTTTAGAACGACAACAATTTGACATACACAGTGGCGTGTAGCATTTCTGAGCAGCCCTCCTTCCTCTCTACCTCTGAAAATGCACATCACGTGACCACACAGACACAGACGCACTCACAGCCATTCGCTCGAGACAGCAGGTCCAGGCAGTCAGAGGACTGCTTCAATCTTTCACTCATTTGTACTTAGTCATTTTAGCGCACACCTCAGATACTGTTGGCTGGTTCCTGTTGGTTGTGCGTCTTTTTTACCGACGCCAATATAATGACACAGATCACTGCCTATTCACGAGTCCCGCAGAAAACGTGATTGACAGGTGGCAATTATGTGTGTATCTTGCCTTTATTTATTTACTGTATGATTTGTTTATGGGTAAAACAAAAACCATCCAGGTCAGGTAGTTTAAACGGTAGGCAACAAATAATTAATTGGTCATTAGTTAATTAATTATTCATAATCGAAAATCGAATTGAATCGTGCCTTTAGAATCGAAAATGTAATCGAATCAGGATTTGGACACCCATTGTCCACCCTTGACACCCATTCCAACATGGTAGAGCAAAATGAAGATGTGCTGTCCTTCAGCTTGCTTTAGAAAATGGTCAGTTTACTGTTAGGGGAACAACATAAGGCAAGTTTGATATATGGGAGACTTTTTCATGCGTCATAGACGTAAATGAAAAAAAAAACTTTGCGTAATGTGATAATACCTTAAAGTTTTACCCTTTAGCAGTCACAAGACTGAAACACACTCATGTTTTTCATAAAGGGGCAAACAAAACTTACATTTAGCCTACAATTCTTGCACAAAATAAAGTTTTATCTATTATCTGTCACTTTTGGTAGTACCCAATTTAAACCTGAGATTTTGGAAACCAGATCTAAATTTAGCAGGAACGGTCCAGTGGGGTAGAAGACAGGTCGGGTCGGGCAGTGGGTGAATATACGGCAGAGGCTGAATATATGGCAGGAGCAGTCGGGTGTGGAATAAAATCTTACAGGAGATCTTACATGCAGATCCCTTATGCAGACCTCTAGTTCAAGCAAGAGATAATCAATGTCTTGTTGTCCGTTAAAGGATTTTAAATGCACAGCATGGAGGCAAAGAGCCACCCAAAGTGCAGCCTCCATATGAAAGACAAGAAACATGCTCATATACAATGTGCTTGTGTTTCAGGCAGCGGTGTCCAAACTCTGTTCTGGTGGGACGATGACCTCCAAAGTTGAGCTCCAACCACAATTAGACAATAATAGCAACACACGAAACATACTGTATTGAGCAAAGCATGCTTGACTTGACAGCTTGACTGAAGGATAGATTCACACAAAAGATGGCATCCAATAGTCCAGGGAGAGGCAGAAAGGCAAACTAAAGGGTCAGTCAGTGTAGGGAGCTTGACACAGGCAGGCAGGGAAGGGAACAAATGACCTGAAGACCTGACTGGAACCAGCAGGGTAAGGAGCCCTTGGTGCACCGGCCACAAAAAACCCAGGAATTGCCAATCTATGGAAAATCCTTATAGCTTAGGATTACAGAAGATTAAACTCCTTTCATTTGATTCAACAGGATTAATAAAAACATGACCATAAAAACATTATTTATCTGAGTTTGTCGTTTTATCATTTTCCTGATAATGTATGTAGTGACACAACGCCTTTCCCATTGCTTATTAGTGTCGTTTTACAATGTTTAAAATGTAATATGAATTTTGTTTATTAACAGCATGTTTTGTAGAATTGTAGCAATGTAAAACAAGTGCACAGCTGTAAAACAAGATTAAAATTGCTGATGTGCAGAGAGCAGTTTGAAACTGAAAAGGTTGCATCTCTAAATTAATGTTAGCAGCAGCATCTCAATTTAAGAAAAAAAACGGTCAAAATTGCAATTTATTGCTTTATAGTTTTTTGTAAACTTAAGACACTTGTTGAGTAGTTTGTGAACATAGTCCTGCATGAAGCCTTACGGCACTGACCACTGGCACACGTAATCTCCTTTATTGAACAATCTAAAAAAGCAACATACATATAACAAATGAGTCACGCATGTGTCAATACCGCCGCCATACTGGTAAAGGGCTCCCAGGAGGGGGAAGTGTAACTCGAGAAACTGACCACCGATGCAGGAGGTGGAAGAAAATAATGATTTTCTTCATTATTTTAGCGTGAGCACCTACAGGTTATTGCTGATGAGTGTAACTCCCTTGTTCACTATACTTTACATTTAACCATAGCACTGGTTTGTGTTGTTTTTTTACTTTTTAAGGGTAGTAGCCTAACTTTTTTTACTTTAAAAAATATTTACATAGTTTTAACTGTAAGCACAGTCACATTGAAAAAAGGAGCAGATAATATTAAATATTCTATAAATATCACAATTTATTTTCAGAAATAAACCTTTTTTTTTTAACTGTGCAGAGCTGTAGCTGAATAACGCCATTCTATATATTCTACTGTATTTACATGCTGGTCATGGAGGTACTTGAAGAGACAATACTATCTGAGGTGGTACTTGTTGTAAAACGTTTGAGTACCACTGCTATAAGACACTTTCAACACTTAAAAGTGTCTAAAAACATTGTAAACAAATTGCATACACATTATCCCATATGTGTTCTGTGGCTTGATTTTATATTTCTGTGACTTGTAAAATTGCATCATATATAGTAAGAAACAAACACAATTTTCTGAAAGGTTAAGGTTACATCTTTATTATCTTTGATCACTTTTTATGGCCCCATGTGGAGTCAGTAATCAGTAGAACAAGGCTAACCCTACAAGACGAGAAAGAGTCGATGACAAAAGAGGTCTTGACACAGGTTAGGGAGAAAGCGGAGGTTTGACTGGTGCCAGTTATAAAATCTCTTTTGGATTAAGTCGTCAAACAGAATTTTTTTTTTTTTAAATAAGCTCTTAAACCCCTGTTGACATCCCTTCTCAGAACTATGTGTTCTCTACAGCAAAAGAAATATGCATTTAAATAATGATCACTTTTACTCTGTCACCAGGTTGGTCAAAATCAGAAGCTTGTAGAATTCAGAATTGCTTGTCACTTAACTGCCGACTGGAAAGTGGGACAGATGCTTATATATATATATATATATATATATATATATATATATATATATATATATATATACATATACGAAATGATATTGTGACTGTCATCCAATCAGCCTGGTCCATTTCCTGTGTGAGTAGCATATAAGGAAAAAAAAAAACAATCATAGTGGATTATGAAGATTATTAGCTAGTGTAGTCAAATGAAAGAATATAGGGCCAGATATACACTGACACCCGGAGGTGGGAGGAGGGACTTGCTTAGTGATAAACAAATAGAGGATTTGCTTGAATCCACCTTTAGATGCCCTCTGAAATTAAAGCCTAGGCCCCCCATTCAGCCCCACTCACACCTCCATACCACCACCTGGCTGTGGGTTCAGCCTGTCTAGGAGGAAGAGCCCGAGTTGCTCTTGTCCTCGCGGGTAACAGGGATGGTGCGATCTCCACGGCCAGCATCTATGCCACTTGTCTTGGGTCCACAAAGAGTGAGCAGGCCATCAGCAGACAGTGTGCAGGTGATGGCAGACTGGTCCACATTGGAAGGCAGGCGGTAGCGACGATGGAACTCACGGGAGATGTAGCCATGATCATCCTGTGGAGCCAACCAACAGAAACGCTTAAAAACGAATGTAAAAGGTAACACCTATTTACAGTTTAAGCCCATTTGAGATGTTACTAACTCTTCACTTTATTAGAGATTACCTGAGAAAATTTTAAATACTAGACATCAAGGCGCACCTGGTTTCTATCTGCAAAGCTCTTTTTTTACTTTAATAAATTATGTTCAGGATTAACTCTGCTAAATGAATATAATGAGGAATACATTTGTAAATAATAAAGTATTGTAAAAAAAAAATTGAGAAGTAGCCTTGATTTCTTTTTTTTTTTTGTCAAAACTTTAGCTCTAAAGAAAGCCTAAATTGGTCTGAACTTCACAAATTAGTTCAGTTTACTTTTGGATCAATATAGTTTTATTCCTGATTAGAACAACATGAACCTGCTTAGCCCAGAACCTATGAAAAAGTGGCTTAAGAGATTTGGAATATAAATAAAAAAGAGAAGAATAAAATCTAAAGTGAGACAAAAACAGATATAGATACAGTATGAGGTGATAGTGTTGTTATATATTATGTTATACATTTTGTTGTTAATTTGTTCTGAATCATTTAAATAATGATTAAAGTTGAAATAATTGTAAAGGGCTTTTTTTTTCTTTGTAAAAAGGCACACTCCTTGTGTCATATACATTTCAGATCATTCAAGTTCCTCAGAATGTGATTTACTTGTTTTATTTGCATAATAGTTTGCTTGAATTCAATAGAACACTCAGCTGCACTAGAATCAGGGGTGCTAGGCATGTGGGCTCAGGACGCTAGGGGAACCAAAACACTATATTTTTATTTCTTTTTTTATATTTAGAAATTTGAAATGTAGAACTTTTATACTTAGAAGTACATTGATTTATTTGTAGCACTTTACAAAACAGTACATAAATAATGATGTGTTATTATTATATTAACTAAACATTACTTTAATATGGGCTTAGGATTTGTTAATGCATGCGCTAAGCATGAACTAACTTTAACTTCAACATGAGTCACAAGAGTTCATGTGTGAACAACAACTACCTCAATCACTTTTTAGTACAAGATTGTTTGTCTATTAATGTGTTAATTACTCCATTAGTTTACGCTTAATTTAACCATTATGAACTCATGATATGCTAATTTATAATTATATCATGCCTATACTCGGAGGGGCACATCATTATTAACCCATTCTTATCTACTCATGAACTCCTTATGCATGTCCGTCTAGCGTGTTTACACTAAATAACAAAAGAAAACATTTGTCAACATCAACAGTTTAAACACAGGAGTTCATGAGGAGTTAAGGATGAGTTAATGGTGATGTGCCCCTCCAAGTAGTCATGACATAATTATACATTAACAAATTTAATTTTAAATTTAGCTTAAACTTAAATGTTAATTAATACATTAATTAATAACATGTACTAACAAGTAATGGTGGTCGTTATTTACTCAAACTCATATGACTTGTCATTAACAATAGTTTATGATTAGCACATGCCTTATCATTAATTCATAATAATGTAATGTTTAGTTTACATATTAGTACATCTATATTCATGTTCTGTTATCATAAATTGTTCCTGATTTATTCACACTCTGCTTTATTATTTTAAGTCATTTCACATCCAGTAATTCAAAATATTGTAATTCTTCCGGTGCTATTAACACACGGAGCACTCACACTAGTTAAACAAACGAGAACTGAGTGGTCAAATGCACTCATGCACGGTTCAGATGACCTAGTGTGACATGGATGTCAGTTTGTGTGTTCTGCACCATTTTGGCGAACAGATAGTTATAAAAATCTTTGTTTGCACATCTTTGCCTGAAGAGTCAAATATGAACAAAGCAATATTACAATACACATCAAGGAATGAGGGGTCGTCACAGCAGAATGAACCAGCATTTGCTTTACGCAGTGGATCCTGCAACGGAGCAGACAATTTAGCTTACCCAATTCACCCATAGCGCATGTCTTTGGATTGTGGGGTAAAACAGAGCACCCGTAGGAAACCCACGTGAACACATAGAGAACATGCACACTCCACACAGAAATGCCAAATGACCCAGCCAGGGCGGGAATCCGCGACCTTCTTGCTGTGAGGCAATTGTGCAACCCACTGCATCACTGTGACGCCATGAATTCCTTAACTTTTATGTACTAATGATCTGTGAGCTCACCTGTCTTTCTCCATGCTTGCCCTGGATCTCCACATAGTCATCTGTCACCTTGACACTGAGCTCATCAGGAGAGAAATGTTTCACATCCAGATAAACTGTAAATTTTTCTCTGTCAGACCTCACCTGGAGAAATAGTGAGCAAAAGAGAAAAAGTGTTGGACATCAACTTTAAAACAGCTTATTTTAGAGCATATAATTGGAGGTAAATCCAAAACTTCTTGCTGATGATTTGGTTAAATTTCAATATAGTTTGTCATTAGATGGATTAAATGTACTTAAATTTCTAAATATTTGTTTATAGCACTGTATCTGTCAGCTTTGTTAGTTTGTACAATTTAGTCTGAATTTGAATCTTGTCCATTATCTTGCTTCATTTTTATGATTCATTTCAATTTCATTTCTGAAGGAAAAACTTTAAGGATTCTTATACTTTAATTTTTTTAGTATATGAATCCCCCCAGACCCCCGCACACACAACCTTCACCCCGCTCCCGCATAGTGGTTTTCAGCATCATTTAAGTTAGTAAATCAAAATATTCTCTCAATTAGCAATAAAGTAATTCAATACCTCAGAGACACCTGAGTTGGAGGAGTCCAGGATGTTGCGGAAGAGTGAGTGTCGATAGTAAGGGCTGACAGTTGAAGTGGTGAAGGGGAATAGGTCATAATCGAACAGGCCTTCTCCAAAGAACTGATCAAAGAGTCGGGTGGGGTAGCCCAGTGTGCGTCTGAACCAAGGGTGTTGGATGGCAATATCCATAATGTCAGACCTGGTAACTCCTTACTGTAACTTATTGCACCTGATGAACAAAAGATGTGAACTGAACACAAGTAGGAGGCTAATAGAGGCTAGTACAGTACAAAGATCCCCAAATGATGTGTGCCGGCCTTAGTGGAGGCAGACCCCTGGTTATATACCTGTGCTGCAGAAAGAGGGGCTTACAAATGGATCTCTCTGGAATGGCATTATCTCATGGTGGGAACAGTGTTGTCAGCAGAATCAGCGGGGTGGACTCTGACCTGAGAATGACAGTCTAGCACTAAATGGCTCAGACAATACTCTTGTGGCCAACTATCACCGGAAAATAAGTGCCTGCCAAAACAAACCAGACCAGATGAAGCTACATGGCTGTAGAACGTCAGTATTTAATGTGTTGTGGCCACTTGGTTCACCAGATTTAAGAGCTAATTTTTTTAAATATCACAGATAATCAGACGCTTTTTTTTTTTCTTGACTGAAAAGCTTAGACTGGAAAATTCTTTGAAAAAGTTTGCACTACAGAAAATAAATACATAACATCCTGCACTGAATGCACACTATTAATAGAAAAGAGAGCATTATTGTAGGAAATGTATTGTATATGTACATTCTGTGCATTTCACAATTTTATGTTGAAAAGCATATAAATCTGGATTTATTGGATCAAACTATTATAAACATATAATACTGTAAAATAGTCATTACAGTTTGAATAACTACATATGCATAGGCTGAAACTATTTACCAATGCAAGTTTCTCTGAAGATCGTTTATTGCCATATTAAAAATGACAATTTAAGGACAAATCAGGAGTAATAAGATTTATTGTTTTGCCATACTTACTGAACTGTTATTCAAAACTGCTGTTTTGAAGTCATTATGTTAATTAGCTTACCACTCTAAATAAATATATTCCATGCATGTGATTAAGCTAAGTAGGAGATCTGCCCAAATCAAATTTATTATCACAAAACATTCATTCATTTATTTTATTTTCAGCTAAGTCCCTTTATTAATCAGGGGTCGCCACAGTGGAATGAACTGCCAATTTATCCAGCATATATTTTACACAGCAGATGCCCTTTTAGCTGTAACCCATCACTGGGAAACACCCAAATACTCATTCACACACATGCACTACAAACATATTTAGCTTATTCAACTCACCTATAGCGCATGTCTTTGGACTGTGGGGGAAACCGGAGCAGCTGCAGGAAACCCATGCCAACACAGGGAGAACATGCAAACTCCACACAGAAATGCCAACTGACCCAGCCGAGGCTCTAACAAGTGACCTTCTTGCGTTATTACCCACTGTGCCACTGTGTCGCCAAGTTTTTTATTTATTCGTTTTTGGCAACAGTAAGACAATAAAAAGTTTCTTTACATGGCTGCCAATAGACTGAAATGTGTTTAACCAGAAAAACTTTAAGGATCTTAGGCAGTATCACCAAAGGAATTAAAATATTTGATCAAAGCAGTGAAGGAAAAACCCTCAATTTAATGCTTACAAGATGAACTTATGAAATAGAAAAACATTTCAAGGGCTATAAAAACTTTAGGCTTGATGGGGTGGCGTAGTGGGTAGCGCTGTCACCTCACAGCAAGGTCGCTGGTTTGAACCTTGACTCGGTCAGTTGACTTTTCTGTGGCATTTGCATGTTCTCCTGGCATCCGTGTGGGTTTCCTCCGGGTGCTCCGGTTTCCCCAACACGTCCAAAGACATGCAGTACAGGTGAATTGGGGTAAGCTAAAATTGTCTGTATGTATGTGTGTGAATGAGTGTATGGGTATTTCCCAGTGATGAATGATTGAGGGAATAAAAACTATACAAGCATGGACATCATGCCAGGACACTGCTGACATTAAAGCTGACTATAATACGCTAACATTTATTTAAAAAAAAGAAAATGTATTATGGATTGATTTGTCCATGCTGCAGCTTTGTGGACCCATGTATCATTGTACCCCTTAGGCAATGGAAGCAGAAGAACATCATCTTTAAAGTCAAATGTGGGCGTGGGAAAGTCTTGATATATGAACGCTTTGCTGTTGTAGGACAATAAACACAAGGAATACATCCAAATCCACTGAAGCTTGATTCATGAAACAAGTGACAATATGAACAACATAGAAACATGAAGATTTTTCAAGTGATGAATGAGCCACAATTCCAGTAAAGGCTTTTTAAGAACTTTATTGAAAGACTTGTGGAGGTTGAGTAATATTGCACATGAATGTCTACAGGCAATAAGGTTTTCTTTGTTGACTTTGTCCTCAGAATCACACAAATGTGCACTGGAAAATTTGAGTTTCAGGAGTTCACACACAGATATTTGACTGAATAGAATATGCAAATTAGGCATGAGGTCCTGGGAGAGGGTCCTGAGTTTGTAAATAAACCCTAACTTGTGTTATTCCCTTTATAAACATAGAGAGGGAGATTGGTGTCCAAGCGCAGCGCATAACCCCATTCCAACCCGCTCCCCCACCCTCTGATTTATGTAGGAATTGGGTTAAAAGGTATAGAGTATGGTTGGGGAAGGGATGCTGAAAGTCAAGAGAAAACAGAAGTAGGTGATGGGTAAAGATGTTTAATATAAAGGCAAGTAAATTTTGAACTAATGCACACTACATAAATTCTATAAATTTGCTTAATATATATGTATCCATTTAAACTTGTAATAAGTATATATAGTGTACTTTGTAAGTGATACACATAAAAAAATGGCTTTGCAAAGGCATTGTAAGGTGTTATGTGTGGAACATTTAACTCATCTAGAGTTATCAGTTGGACCATTGCAGCTCTGAACTGATAATTCCGATCCTAGATGTGATGACTTCCCCTCTGGTTTGTGAGGCAGCATTAGAGTAATCCCTAGGGGCTTTTACTTGGCACGCTGGTGAGGCTTAACTGTAAACCACCAGCAGGTCCGTTTTCCACACCACAGACTCAGAGTTGGCAAACAGATCTCAGCCATGGGAGGGGTGCACTGGTCAGTGGAGTTAGGATGGGTGACCAGGCAGGCCACCGGATGGATGGTTTATTCTTTGGCCAGGTTTTAGCTCAGTCAGCAGCTTTTGTTTGAAGCTTTCTCTCAGTGAACAGCGTCATGAACAGAACTAACGCAAGAGCTTGAGATAAAAATACACTTTAATCAAGACTAAAGGGAGAATGAAAACACCTTTATCTTTTATGCTTCAGTATCTTTGTAGTAAATAAGCATTGAATGGAGGCCAGAAATGGAACAAAGTGTTCAGTTAAAAATAATACATCTTGAAAATCTAAACACTCACTGTGTTCTCGAATAGATCCTCCAGACAAAAAAAAAGGTTAATCAAAACATATTTGAAGCAAACAGTATCTACTTATTTCTTTGTTATATAGCAATTTACAAACATTTTTATAAATAGAGAGATAAGAAGGCTAGAGTAATCCAAAATACAACAAAAATACTAAACAATTTTTTATTTGTTATTGTACACAAGCACTACTTTAAAGAATTTGGTGCAAAGGTAGTTGTTTAAAAAACAGCATCCAAAATTATAGCAGCAAATGCAAACAATAATTGGATATGACAAATAAATAAAACATGCCAGTTGATTAATAATAAAGATTAATTAAATTGACCTCATTGGACACTTTACAATGTGATGCTTTATCCAGGGTGCTGTTAATTGATTGCTTGTTTGCAGAAGTCATGTAGTGACTCTTTAAAATCACATTAAACAAGTCAAATAAAAACAGGTCAAATTTGTCTTCTTCTTCTTTGTTAATAAATGCAAGTTGTGCAACCGGTGATTTTTGATGTCAGCACTATGTCAGAATTATGCAGGAAAACTTAAGCACAGTAATGCCAGTTATGAGTAAAACAAATATGCAAAAACTTGGACAGTAAAATTATCTAAAATTATTTTAGACTGTTTTGATGCTTGGGCTAGAAGGAAATCTTAATAATAAACCACATGCCAGAGTAATTGGTGGTTAGTTCACTGGGCAACCCTTGCTAAATCAGGGATTAGGCAAGGCAAGGCAAGTTTATTTATATAACAAATGCTATACACAATGGAATTTCAAAGTGCTTTACATAAACATGAATAAAATAAAATATAAAATAAAAATGATTAAAAGAATTAAAAATGATCCAAACTGATTACAATGTGTTAAAACAGGTGATAAAAGACATCATAGTGCAAACTGTCGGACGTAGCACAGTGCTCATTCAGGAAAGGCAGCTAAACAGATGTGTTTCAAGTCTTGATTTGAATGTGCCTAATGTGACCCTATGTGACTGAGCTGAATTAAAGTGAGAGTGAAGTGTTCTGATGCTTTCCAAGGTAACTTTAGATTTGTTTACATATGTTTTGTATTCTTTTGAATTTAATATGAAAAGAAATAAGCAAGAAATAAAGTTGTAAAAAGCAGACCAGACCTAATGCTGAAATTTAAATGTAACTAATTTATGACATCTATTTCTCCATTGTTGAATCTTGGTAGTGCATCACATTCAGACTGAAGCAGGATGTAAAGCATTCAGTATTCATCGGCTGTTTCTGACATAGTTCTCTCTCTTTTCTCTCGAGCAGTCACAAAGTTGAGAAGATCAATGGCAGTCACCACTCCAAACACCATTTGCTTTTGAGATGAGGAGCCATCTGTAAGATCTAAATAAAAACAAAAAATCATTCATTATTAAAAGCAATTCAAGCAAATGTCTTGACACAAGCACTGTTGTCTTGCTACAGTTGCTTAACAATAGTTTTCCAATATGTCACATTTGTAAAATTCATTGATTTTTACTTTCATGTTTAATACCATAAAAGGTGCTTTGAAAAAAAGTTCAAACCTACATTTATATTTAGTCATTTAGCAGGCACTTTTGTCCAAAGCGACTTACAACTGTGGAAGCATTTACTGATTCAACAAGAGGCAATACACACAAGAAGTGCTAATTATACAAAGAAAGTGCTAGTGCTCAGAGAATTAGGTGCTAGGTGCTAGTAAAGTGTTTACTAGAATAAAGTCATGCGTTTAGTGCATATATGTATGTATGTATATATATATATATATACATATACACAGTTGAAGTATATAAGTCAGTATG